GTTGCTGTCATTGCCACCAGGGTGGAGCGAGGGAAGAGAAGTGGGAGTGCACTGGGACAGCTGTAAGTGTCCTAATTAGGCTTCAGAGTTAACATGTGCCTAAAGGGGAGAGAGCACCTTCTCCCAGACTCTGCAAGCCTGAGGCATGACCCAAGGGAGGAGACCTTTATCTAAAGGAGGGAGTGCCCCCTGCTCCTCCAGTCTCTCTCCCCAGCACTACTGGCACTGCTCTAGCCTCTCATAATGTAAGAACCTTCCCATAACGCAATTTTATTTGGTGACCCTTAGTTCTTAATACAGAGCAGGTTTAAAACAAAAGGAAATTTTTCATCACACAGCCTCATCTGTGGAACTTCTTGCTGGAGGAGGTGGTGAAGGCCAGGACTTTAACAGGGCTCAAGAAATAACTAGATAAATTCATGGAGGTTAGATCCAACACTTATTAGCCAGGGTAAACAGAAGGTAGGGATACCACCCCTGCCAGCCCAAGGCTGGGAATGAGTGACGAGCAGAATTGCTTGAAGTTTCCCTGTTCTCTCCCCCTGGGTCCGGGGCATTGGCCACTGTTGGCAGACAGGGTACTGGTCTAGATGGACTTCTGGTCTGAGCTTGTGTGGTCACTCTTATGCTCTCTCAGGTGATCCAGGCTGGTGTCCTGTCCTGCTCAAAGCATGCTACAATGAGGGCCCTTTTAAGAGAGCAGGTACCTGTTACCTACCTCCTATTCCCAACCACTGTATGGTGCTACCCTTGTGGGGGTAGCAATGCCCCTTTAAAGGGAGCTTGCTCTCTAGGCATCCTCTGGGGAGTGGCACAGCCTCTAAGGAAATCATCTCAGTGGGCCCTCCAGCTAGAAGCATTGCCCCTTTAATGGGCAGCTAGCTTTAAGAAGGAATCAGAGGGGCAGTCTTGCAAGTCGGCTTCAGCAGAAACGAGGGGGCGGCCGGCACTGTAAAGACTAACTCGTTTGCTAGGCTGTAAGCTCCGGCCAGCTCCCCTCAGGCACTGCAGTGAGGGGCAGCTCGGGGGGCTTATCTCCAGATGAACGTGGCTGCTCTTCAAAGGGCCACCGCACTCTGTTTTAATCTTTAAGGGACCCTCTGTTCTGTGGGCCGCTGGTGGGTGGCTCCCCGTGAGCCTCAAAGACTGCGGCACTGCCCCTTTAAGAGGAGGGGGCGCTCCCTGGGTCCTGAAGAGTGTGGCATTGCCCCTTTAAGAAGAGGTGGCACTCCCTGGGTCCTGCAGAGTGCGGCATTGTGCCCATCTATAAAAAGGGGAATAAGAACAACCCAGGAAATTATAGACCGGTCAGTTTAACGTCTGTCCCAGGGAAGATAATGGAGCAGGTAATTAAGGAAATCATATGCAAACACTTGGAAGGTAATAAAGTGATAGGGAATAGCCAGCATGGGTTTGTGAAGAACAAGTCATGCCAAACTAATCTGATAGCTTTCTTTGATAAGATAACGAGCCTTGTGGATAAGGGAGAAGCGGTGGATGTCATATACCTAGACTTTAGTAAGGCATTTGATACGGTCTCGCATGATATTCTTATTGATAAACTAGGCAAATATAACTTAGATAGGGCCACGATAAGGTGGGTGCATAATTGGCTGGATAACCGTAGTCAGAGAGTTGTTGTTAACGGTTCTAAATCCTGCTGGAAAGGGATAACAAGTGGAGTTCCTCAAGGGTCTGTTTTGGGACCCGTACTGTTCAATATCTTCATCAATGATGTAGATATTGGGATAGAGAGTACTCTTATTAAGTTTGCAGATGATACCAAACTGGGTGGGGTTGCAACTTCTTTGGAGGATAGGGACATAATTCAGAATGACCTTAGCAAGTTAGAGAAATGGTCGGAGGTAAACAGGATGAGGTTTAATAAGGAGAAATGCAGAGTGCTCCACTTAGGAAGGAACAATCAGTTCCATACATACAAGATGGGAAGCGACTGTCTAGGAAGGAGCATGGCGGAAAGGGATCTAGGGGTCATAGTGGACCACAAGTTGAATATGAGTCAACAGTGTGATGCTGTTGCAAAAAAAGCAAATATGATTCTAGGTTGTATTAACAGGTGTGTTGTAAGCAAAACTCGTGAAGTCATTCTGCCGCTCTACTCTGCGCTAGTTAGGCCTCAGCTGGAGTACTGTGTCCAGTTCTGGGCGCCACATTTCAAGAAAGATGTGGAGAAATTGGAAAGGGTACAGAGAAGAGCGACAAGAATGATTAAAGGTCTAGAGAAGCCTATGAAGCCAGGCTTCATGAACTGGGCTTGTTTAGTTTGGAAAAAAGAAGATTAAGGGGGGACATGATAGTGGTTTTCAAATATCTAAAAGGGTGTCACAAGGAGGAAGGCGAAAATTTGTTCCTCTTGGTTTCTGAGGACAGGACATGGAGTAATGGGCTTAAAGTGCAGCAGGGGAGGTTTAGATTGGACATTAGGAAAACATTCCTAACTGTCAGGGTGGTCAAATATTGGAATAAATTGCCAAGGGAGGTGGTGGAATCTCCCTCTCTGGAGATATTTAAGAACAGGTTAGATAGACATCTGTCAGGGATGGTGTAGACGGAGCTTGGTCCTGCCTTGAGGGCGGGGGGCTGGACTCGATGACCTCTCGAGGTCCCTTCCAGTCCTATGATTCTATGATTCTATGATTCAGATATGAAAGGCAGAGTGATTTAACACCTGTTTAGATTTGTCATCCATGGGACGAAATGAAAAGTATGCTGTTTGCAATAAACGTTGCCTAAAATAGTTAATTTGCATTTAATTTTAATGGTTCCAAGAATGTCAGGCAAAATGGTCGGCCCTCACGCATGTTCACTTCATCAAATCTGGCCCTCGTGGAAAAAAGTTTGGACACCCCTGGACTCTATAAGGTGCCACAGGACTCCTCGCTGCTTTTGCAGATTCAGACTAACACGGCGACCCCGCTGATACAAACGCTATGGAACCTGTCTGCAGAGGAGACATAGCATGAACTATAGTGATAGAAATGTAGCCCTGTTAGTCTGGGGTAGCTGAAGCAAAATGCAGGACAATGTAGCACTTTAAAGACTAACAAGATGGTTGTTAGTCTAATAAACCATCTTGTTAGTCTTTAAAGTGCTACATTGTCCTGCATTTTATATCATGAACTAGTTACAAACGTTTTCACGTTGTAGCATAGACTGGCGATTACCTATGCTGCATATTGCCTACACCTTTCATGTGATTTATGGTCCAGATCATCCTACAAACTGGATTGACTTTTAGGTTTCCTTGGCTCCAAACTACTAAATCCCTGCATGGAGCATAATTGTAGTCACTGGGGTTGTGCTAAGGTTCAGGCTTCCACCTTGCAGATCAGCTTACAGAATGGAGGCCCAAGTTGACAATTAACTTAAATTCTCTGTTATGACCAAAGTCCCTGAGGGGATTGTGTGTGTGTTATAGATCGGAGCTTGCAGCCTAGGTGGGGTTTGCCAGTTCAAAAGGCTTAGGCACTCACCCACCTTAAACAGGTGTTTCTGTGAGTGTAAGGGGGTAAATGTGTGCACACACCCTCATTTGTTTATACATTGGAATTTTGCACTAAATCCAAAGAATGTTATGAAGAACTGTCCGTCATTTGTTCCTCATGAAAAGGGGGAGTATATCAATCAGGAAAATAGCCTGGGAGAAAGTGTAACTAATTTAGGGACATCAAATAAGTTGGAGTGCCATGGATATAAGACAGTGGTCTCCAACCTTTTTAACCACAAGGTCACTTTTTAATTTAAGTGCAAGGTAAGATCTACCTCAAACCCAAATGTCCTGCCCTACTTCCTTCCTGCCCCTTCTTTGAGGCCTTGATGCTGATCCGCCTTTTCTCTGAGGCCTCACCCTGCTCACTCCATGCCCCTTCCTCCCCCATCCTCACTCACTTTCACCAGGCTGGGGCAGAGGGCTGGGGTGCAGGCTTTGGTCTTGGGCCAAGGAGTTTGGAGTGTGAGAGGGGCTCCAGGCTTAGCCCAGGGTGGGGGATTGGGATCCAGAAGGGCTTTCAGGGTGCAAGCTCTGGGAATGAGTTTGGATGGAAGGGCACTCACGTCTGGGGCAGGGGGTTGGATGTATGAGGGGGTTCAGGTCTATGACAGGGGTCTAGGATGCAGGCTTTGGCTGGGCACCATTTAACTGAGAGAGATTCTGGATGGTGGAGCAATGGGATTAATGCAGACTTGCTCCTGCCCTGGCCCTTCACCACTCCTGAAAGCATCTGGCATGTACAGTAATGGCACCATGTGCTGCCCCTCATCTACAGGCACTGAGCCCATAGCTTCTACTGGCCACGGTTCCCTGATGAATGGGAGCTGCAGGAGTAGTGTCTGCTGGCAAAGACAACATGTGGAGACCCCCTGCCCTGCCTTTCTCAGTGGCTGCAGGGACATGCCAGCCACTTCCAGGAGCAGCAGTTACCATTGGGATAATTACTCCAGCCATGACAGGTTGGGCATTTGAGAACTCAGTACTCAACAAATTAAATGTAAGCATAAGAGAGAAATGAAAATGATGAAATGCACAGACTAGTCCAAAACCAAAAATAACCCACTTTGCAAGCTGTAAAAGAAGTAACAACCACCCCCCATGGATCTGTTGGGTCTGGTGATGAGAGTGAAGGACAGTGTGTGTTTGTGAGAATGACAGACACACACACTGGGTGAGTGTGACAGAGATTTGCATTGCCAAGCTCCCTCCTTCTCTTTCTCTCTGTGTGGAGATAGGGTACGGAAGTGAGGCAGGAGGGATACCCTTTCATCAGTGCCCTCTGTTTTCTCCCTCTCACACCCTGCACAGCAAGCACAAAGCTTCCAGGGGGGCAGCTCCAAGGCAGAGGGCAGGAACAGCATGACAGTGAGTGGAGGGGCAACTGTAGTGCCAGCGCTTGGTAGCTTCCCGGCCAAACCAGTCAGGATCACCTATCTGAGGCTCCGAGATCTACCGGTTGGTCCCGATCTACTGGTTGGTGGCCACTGATACAAGACGACTGTTAACTATGTGAGTCCTGAAAAAGGAGTCATTGGGCTTCCTAAAATACTTTACTTTAAGCCAGTGATGGGAAATTTAGGCTTGTGAACTGTCTGCAAAATTGTAATAACCAAGACAGTCTCCCAAGATAGGGTAGTTTTGCTAACTGTGCTTAGGTACCTAGAATTTGTGAGGTGAGCCTATTGAACCATATCAGCATTTTGGTTGCATGCAGTGGGAGTACACTCGTCACAGTCAGTGTTGTGTGCATCAGCACACGCTTCATATGCCCTTGCGTTGTGTGTGTGCCACTTCAGTAATATTGGTAGGAAAAAACCTATGTGGATGAAACTAGTAGAATCTGGCATCCCTGCTCTTGGGCATTGATAAACAATGTCTCGTGGGCCACACCCCGATGGGCAACATGGCAGACTGCAGATTGTTCACCACCGCTTAAAGCACTTTGTCTAAATAATATGGTCCTGGGAACCAATCTCTGAAACGGTCAGCATTTCACTAAATTGGGATTTCCTAAAGAGCAAAAGGGAGTTAGGCATCCAGATTCCTAAGCAATTCAATTGAATTTGAGTCTGTAACTGCCTTGTGACCCCTGGAAAATTGAAGACTTCTTTAAGTGCAGTCTTAATTTTTTTCACTTTCTTGAAGTGTTAACATCTGTCTCTTCATTCTTTGTCTTGGGGCTCTGTAGCAAAGATGTTGCGTTTCTTTCGACGAACGCTGGGACGTCGGTCTATGCGCAAGCATGTGGAGAAGGAGCGACTGCGAGAGGCCCAAAGAGCTGTCACCCACATCCCTGCAGCTGGAGATGCAAAATCCATCATCACTTGTCGAGTATCATTGCTGGATGGAACTGATGTCAGTGTGGACTTACCGGTATGAAAGAGACAGCTGCTTTTTAAACACTATTGACTTGCATCTGTCAGGTTGAGTTCTTTATTTTGTAAGAGCTGGGTAAAGTTATGCCTATTTGTCATAGCTCCTAACCCAGATCTGTTAGTCTCTAATTGAAAAGATAATGCAGTGGTTAGTGCTTTCACTTAGCATGTTCATAGAAATATCATTGTGCTGTAAATATTAAATGTGTTTCACTGGGCTAGTGTGTGGTGGCAGAGCAGGTCTAACTTAGCAACACCCATATTTTCATTTCAGTGTCCTATGCATGCAAATTGAGGGAGAAGCTAAACTCATTTAATTCAGTTAATGGGAGTGATATACAAAGACATGAGAATGGTTTCTGAAATTTGGCTACCTTTTCACTGAGCAGCTTTCTATCTGATATATGAGAAGAGAGAGTACTCTTGGCATGTACTAGACATGCGGTTCCCAACCTGGTTTATACTGCGGACTGGCAAACCCATTCACAAACTTTTGGCAGACTGGTAACATTTTATTTGCACTTTTGCATATTCATTATACAAATAACAAATATGCAAATAAAATGTTTCCAGTTCTCTGCAGTTGTCATGCAAATAATAAGTATGCAAATAAAATGTTACTGGTCCACCAAAAGCCCCAGCCCCCAGGGACGCCGCAAACAGCTGGCTTCAGCTCCAGCAGTCACTGTATGGCTAGTACATGCTGGCCCCCCGTTGCCAGCCCTAACCCCTAGAGGCCACCACCCCCCCCCACCCCCCCCCCCCCCCCCAGCCACTGACCCGAGAGTCCCCTGTACTCAGTCCCCCTCAGTGCCAGCCTCCCACCCCTTAGATCCCACCTCCACCGAACCTCTCAATGCCAGCCTCCTGTTTCCAGAGCCCCACTGCTCTCCTCCCTCCCAGTGCTAGCCCCCAATCCCTAATATTAGCCCCATCCCCAGAACCCCCCAGTGCCAGCTCCCCACCCTGGATGCCCCAGTGCCAGCCCCCACCTCTTAGAGCCCCCACCCCCCGGGTTCCCCCAGCACTAGCCCCGCTCCCCCAACCCCCAGTGCCTACCCCGCTCCCCTCATCTAGCCCTGCACTGCCTGCCAGCTGCCAGCTGAGCACTACTGCCTGGGTTGTGGCTGCTGTAAGACTGCTGTGCCAGGCTCCATGCAGCTCTCCCACCACACAGTGAACCACTCTTCCGTGTCTAGGAGGTGATTGCTGCCATTCACTTCCCTTTAGTTTGTACTTAGCTATGCCAGTGATGGCTGGTTTGAGTTTGAACAGTCCCAAGGTTTAAAAACCATGGCTCATTGAAACTCTCTTAACATATGGTTAGATCCTGAGAGATGCTGACTTTAGTAATTGTTTTACAGTACATCAGGTTGGAGCCACTGGTCAAGAGTGATTTCTCTGCATCTTGTGTCTTAAAGTAAATGAACTTTCTCTTATAGATGTTAAGAATGTTAAAATCGCATTGGGCAGTCTAGGGAAAGCCCCAGATTGCTTGAGTGTAGAGTATTGTGGCAGTGGTGAGAGAATGTGGGTGGAGAATAATCCCTTCTCCAATATTTGAGACAGAGTTACTTTGATTTTTTTAAATATTAGAAATATTGCATTTATAAAGATGTCAAAAATGACTAAAGACTTTTAGAACAAGTGGTAAAATAATGCGCCTCTGTAAAGGTTGTTGAAATAATATAATTAACATGTCCAATGCTGTTCTGTGTGTAAGATACTTTACCTGGGGCCAAAAATGCTCCCCCCCCCCCCACTTACACACTTCATAAGCATAGCTGAAATGGGAAATAATAAAATATAGTGTCTGTACACAACTAGAACAATAGTCTTTCTGCAGCTGGTGCTGGCCTTACAGGCAAATGCCTATAATAACAATTTTGATTCTATGAGGAACTTCAATTAATCTTAGTTGTCAGACTTATCAACCAGGTGCCTAAATGTAATGGTGAAGGTGTAAGTTACTTTTTTTTCTTTTCAGTAGAAATCTATTATTCCTCTTCCTTGCCTCTTTTGAGACACTCTTACAGGCTTCTCATTATTAGCCAGGAAAGTTACTTTGTTACCTTTTAAGAAATGACTTATCAACTTTCCAGTGTTTGTGCTTCCTTAGTCCAAGTCACCATCACAGTCACTCTGTCCAGGAGAACAGTAACTGCAGATGGCCATTACTGTACTTCTGCAGCTATGTGTAGTATTCATAGGGTGCTGTTGGCAGTTAGCACAAGTGCTTGCTTTCCACAGTAACACTGCTCATTGGCTTCTTCAGATGACTTATTGGACTCTCTGGCTTCTGACAGTCTGCCTTTGATTGCTAGGGAAGAAAGAAAATGGTGGAAATGCAGGCTGGAATGAAGAATTTGAACTAGTTTAATGTGGAGAACGTATGGGTTCAGCATAGGGTCTGAGTCTCCCACTGACCCCCGGGCTCCATGCTGCCCTGCCACTTTGAAATGCACAAGAGCCCCCACTTGGGACACTTGTACATTTCAAAGCTGGCACGCTGCGTGCAGCCCGGAGTCGGTGGGATTTCCTGCTGGCCCCAACCTGCATGCAGAGTTCCACATTCCTCCTTTGAAATGTTCAAAAGACCAAGTAGGGGCTCTTGTACATTTCAAAGGAGGAAAGCGGACGTGCCTGTCGACTAGGCAAGTAGTCAATGGAAATTCCATCAACTACTCAACTAGTAAATTAACTGATACTTGACATCCTTAGTCTAATTAAAATTCCAGCATGGGATTTCCTACATGTTGAGTGGCTGTGGAGGAGGAGATAAAACCTGTTCTAGAACATATCACTGTTAGACTGTTTTGTATTTCTGACAGGAAGAGGAAGAGTGGAAACTTTATTTCCTGAAACTTCATATGCATTAACTGGTCTTAAACAGAGGTCTTTTGATCATATATTTTACTCCATACTGAAAAGTGTTATGCAGTGGCCATCCTGAGCCTGAGAAGGCGCCACAGTTTAGCTATGTCCATTGCCAAAGAGCTACAGTAATTTGCAAGCAGTCCCCATCAGGTGCCTCCTTCCATCTCCAGCATCTTTTCCCCACCAGCAGTCCCACTGATCAGTGCTTCCTCTTCCTTCCCCATGCCTCCTGCCCACTGTAATCAGCTGTTTCATGGCACTCAGAAGGCTCTGTTGGGGAGGGAAGGAGCAAGAGCGCAATATGCTTGGAGAAGGAGGTGGAGACACGAGTTGAGCACTGGAAAGTTGGCACCTGTAGCTGCAGCCCCAGAGTGAGTGCCTGAGCAAGGAGCCGCATATTAACTTCAGAAGAGTCACAAGTTGGCCACCCTTGCCCTGGATGGATTAACCCAAAGCAGTAAAAGGCACTCTATTCTGGAAGAGGCACATCCACACAGAACAGTATTCCAAAATAGCTATTTTGATAAATTTCAAATGTAGACCAGCCCTTAGACGCTCTGCACATTTAAAGATTTATATTAGTCCAGCCCACACACCGAATTCCGTGCTGTTAAGAGGGTTTTTTTTTCCTTTTACCTCCAGCCTAGTTTAATAATCTACATTAATCAAGTGTTGGGATTTCAAACAATTACATGTGCATGAGGAGGTTAATTTGTCCCCTGGAGGCAGAACCAGTCACAAATTTAGGTCTGTTTGTGGGTTAGATGGTTAATATTTTATTGGAAATCATTAAGCAACTTGAAAGTGCTTAACTGCTTGTCCTTTGAGGTAAACTCAGCTCTGCCAAAACACACAAGATAACAGTGAGATCAAAATACCACTTATACAAAATTGAGTGTTTTCTACAACTGAATTGTTACCCTATAGTCTCTTAAATGGAAATGCATCTTTGATTTCTTTAGAGTGTGCTGGAAATGACAGTTTTATTGAACACAAGTAAGTTTATGTAAACCCATAAAAAGGAACTTATTGCAGAGTTTTGTGATGGGTTGGCCTCCATTAGTTAAATATAGACAGCTACATCCTTTAGGAATGTAGGTGTATCTCCCAGGAATGTAGTTTTCAACTAAAACTTCAAAATTTGTTTAACTTTTATGAAAGTAAAATACCCATTTATGTATTCAGTATAAGTTTACATGAAACTGTGTGTGAGGGATGGTGGATTGACAGTCCCAGTGATTAAGTCAGAGAGGGACTGCCTCCTGTGTAATTCTGTCTCTGTCCATTTGGTCTTTACCTGCTTAGACTGGCACAATAGATGCCACTTGTGATGTAGGAATCCATCCACTGGGAAATAAACATCCATGAATTTCAAGTGTCACTGAGTAGCTTTTGCTCAGTAAAAGCTTTTACAACCTGAGCCAGAGTCAAACTGACATCTTAGATAAAGGGCTCTCCTTACCTGTTCATTCAGCTGTAAGAGTTATAAAGCTTAAAAATATATATATGGAAGAACATGGAAGCTTTCCCTTGGCTTTAGACCAGGCACAAGGTCCTTGTGTGAGCCGATGCCTTTGGTAACTTCACCTTTTCCAAAGGCTGTATTTATTCCACTTTGAGCCTGTCTTTCCTGTTGTTTATGCAGCAGAAAACACCCACTTGTTAAGATACAATATAAATAACTTAGTGGTGTTCTGTTTTGGAAGAAAGGACCTTGGTTCAAATATATTAAATGTGGAAGAAAGTATTTTACAATTGGTTCAAGAATTCTAACCAAGTTGTTCGGAGCAATTTTATCAGTGTTTAATACATTTTTGGTGGTAGTGAATCTTCTTATCTGAAACAGAAGAAACATGATTATTGCTGTGCATATATGTGAGATTGCTTGCTGTTCCATGTCCTGAGACTTGGTAAGAAAGGAGTTACGAAAGTGCATGGTGGCCTGAAATTAGTGTCTAGGTGAGAGAGCCTCAAACTGTGGGGTGTGACCCGTATGGGCATGAACAATGTTTGAGGGAGCACCACCCAACCTCACTTCCATCCCAGCTCAGCTCCTGGCCATGGCCTCATTCCCAGCCTCAGGCTCCTTATGTCCACGTCCCACCACCCTGGGATCCACAATCTCACACCTAGCCCTGGAGGGGGGCATTTATTAGGGGTGTAATAGTGTAATCCCGCGTTTCTCAAACTGTAGGTCCTAACCCCCGGGGGGGTTGCGAGCAACTTAGAGGGGGATCGTGGTATCACAAAGTTTGAGAACCCCTGGTGTAATCAATTAACAGATAAGCAAGTGTTTATCAGTTAACGTTATCAACTACATGCAACAGACACACACACCCCAGCAAGGAAATTTTTTAGCAGGCTGGCTTGGCTCACGCCAGGACCTGGCATCAACTCCCTTGCCGGCCCTTAGTGCTCTTAGTGCAGAGCCACAGCAGGGGTTGATGCTGGGTCCCAGCACGAGCCAGGACTGAGCCAGCCTGTCCACGTGCCAGCTCTTAGTGCCGGGACCCAGCATCAACCCTCGTTGCAGCTCTGCGGTACAAGTGCTTGTAGTGTTGTAGAGCTGCAGCAGGGCTAGTTACCGGACCTGGCAGGAGCCGGGATTGAGTGGTAGCAGTGCTACCACTTATCGGTTAATCATGTAGTTGACAATATTTCTTACCATCCCTAGCATGCACAGGGGCAAGGAGGGGTATGACCCTGAAAAGTTTGGGGACCACCGGTGTATGCTTCTGTCATATTTAACTTAAGCTTTCTGTATATAATGTAGGTTTGAATCATATTGCAAGAGACGTTTAACCCAGGACCATGGTTACAGTTTTAATTAAATGCCAGGTATTTAAAGATCAGAGTACCACAGGGTAGTAAAAAGTCTGCTTGCTCTTTTAAGTATGGAATTTAGTGGCTGAAACAGAGATGGAGGAAATTCTGCAAATAAGAAATCTAGCTAGTTCTCAATAATTATTTTAAAAACAAAGACAATTTTGTAGCAGAAATTATTAGACTGTATTCAGTGGCTTTTTATCTGTGATCAGCTCATTTGAATGTTTTTCTCTGGCTCAAAGGCCAGGGTGCCTCCCCAGTCTGGCCCTCTCCCCCACCCCTCCCACACACACTGGGGCTCTGCAGCAAGGCCCTCTGCACCCCGCCACAGGCCTTGCCGTCAGCCTCCACCCCCACTGCCGGCGCCTGACCCAGGACTGGATGTCCCTCCAGCAGCTGCCATGTAGGCTGGCAGCTGCCAGAGTTTAAACTGAGTTGTGCGGCTCCTCGGCTGTCCTGGGTAAAGGAGGGGGGAGGAGAGGGTATGGGAGCTACAGGGGCTTCGGTGAGGGGAGAGAGCGTGTGGGAGCTTGGCTGGGGGAAAGTGGGCATTGGAGTTGTGTGCCCTTGGTGGTATGGGGAGGTGTATGGGAGCCGCAGAGCCTCGTGGGGGCTTGGGTGAGGGGAAGGGGGACATATAGGACATGTGCAGTGACCCTGGTGGTCTGGGGGAAAGGGGGTGTGTGGAAGCCACGCGGCCTTGTTCCTTGCTGGTAGCGGGGCCGGAGCCGTGTGACCTCCCTCTTTGTGGTCAGAGGGAGAGAGCCGGATGCTGCACACCCTTCCTCCTCCCTGCCAGAAGGCAAGGGCCAGGCCAGCTGCGGCCTCAGCCTGGCCCAAACCTCTCTCTCCCCCCCACGCCTGCTCCCCAGTGGCCTGAGGGAGGGAGCTGGGCCAGCTGTGGCCTGGGTCCAGCCCAACCTTCCCCCTCACCTCCGGTGGCCAGAGCGGGAAGAGCTGGGGCTGCCTACCCCAGGAGAGGGGGTTTGGCAAGCATAGCGAGCAGGGAGCACTGTCCCCTAGTACTTGATAAAAATAATATATCTTTCACAACAGTATCAGAATCTTAACTCTTAGCTATGGATTTTCCCAATGGATTTTTATTATTTTGATATTGTAGCTAAATATTTTTTTCTTGCAGGGGATAAATGAGAAATACTTGTTAAGATTGAGCAGATAATAAATGTTGATAATCTGGGGTATGGGGAGGTGTGTGATACTCTGTAACTTTTAAAAATGAGTAGTCTTGTGGCCTCTTAAGAGACTAACAGATAATGTACACCTATATAATAATATCATGAGTTTTCATGGGCAAAACCCACTTCTTCAGATGAGATGATCTTGAGTGGAGAAAAGAAGGGAAAGACTCAGAATAAGAAGGGAGAGGGGGAAAAGAAAATTACCTGTCATTTGCAGTCCTGGCGCTATTGTAGCGGGCTGGAATTGTTGCATATTTAGCTTTTGATGTCAATAGGATTTGAATGTAAGGAAAGCCAGTTTTATAGTAAGTTCAAACTTGTTCAGGTCAAGGGAGATGCTGTCAGATTTGCATATGAACGCCATTTCCTTGAGAATATTATTGTTAAAGGAATTTAATAGGGAGAGAGTGTCGCATTTTTACATATGTGAAAATTTGACTTGTTTGAAGTTTATCACCTGACACCAATATGTGGAATTTAAAGGTTTGATTTTTTTCAGTGATGTTTTATGTTTATACTTTGTATTAGAGAAATATGGTATTTATTTGGAATCAGAGATAAGGTTGCTATTCTATGATTATGTATATATTTGACATTTGAAGTGATTGGGTTTTATAAATGATGTGTTAAGTAATGTTCACTGGTGTCTCTTAGCAACTTGAGCTATTTCTTTAAAGAGTAGCTTTTGGTATTTTGCCAGTGGTTTTTGTGTATGCTGGTAATGGAGATAATAATTTAAAAAAATAATGAAATGACTCACCAAACTAATCAATTCAAGGAGTGAATGGTACATATTTCTGTTGATAAACAATACATCTCTCCACTATGTTTGTAAGTGTTGTAAAATCACTTGCTGATGAGACTCCACTGTGCATAAGAGAAATGTAGCTTGAGTAGCTTTGCTTTTGTCATTTGAAATGATTTGATGACTGAGTGACTGTAGAGTATATAGTTTTCATATGTGTTTTTCCTTATCTGCTTCAAAGGTGAAGATTTTAATATTGGATTTCAAATAGTAGGTATTTCTTAAGCATTTCACTATGTGTGTCCTTGAAAACTGCCTGATGTATTCGGCCAGGGGTGGGCAACCTTTTTTTGGATTGAGGATTGCTGACCAAAGAAAAATCAGTCGGGGGGGCGCACAGAAGTGAGAAGCAAAAAGCAAATAAAGAAAAAACCCAAACACTCACTAATATGGCCCCTGATTGAGGAGGACAAAGACCCTCTCCATATTCTCCTTGCACACTACAGCCTTGGGGGGTGGGGGAGGGCGGGCAAGGCTACTAGATTTTTGTGTGTTCCAGCCCCACAGGAGGACTGGGGGAGGAGGGTGCGGCACCACCAGCGTGGGCTGTTACTGAGTGGGAGCCTCAGTGGCTGCATCCCGTTCCCAGGCCTTAGGTTCCCCACCTCTGCATTAGGCAGTCTCAGAAACTACCTTTGTTTCCAATCTCATGGTATAAAGTGCCTTCAGTGGCATGTAGGAGGAAACAAAGCTGTAGAGTGCAGTGCTGAATACTTCCAAATAATTGGCATTTGGCACTGGCTACTTTTAAAGATAGGTTTAAAAATCTTCATGTACTAAATTGAAGGCATTTTCATTTACTTGGTTCTCTGCCAATGCCAGCAACTCTACTATTGTAGAGATGTTGCCAAGTTTGTGTTTGAAACGTTTTTTGGCATACTCAGTTTGTATATTCTTAGCCTTGAAAAGGTAAAGGAAGTAATAAAATCTACCTGTTACAGGCTGATTTATTTTGCAATTCCAGAAAAAAGCCAAAGGCCAACATCTGTTTGAACAGATCATGTACCATTTGGACCTCATTGAAAATGACTACTTTGGGCTGAGGTTCATGGATTCTGCACAAGTGGCAGTAAGTAACTGAGACTTTTTTTCCCCTTAGTAAATTATTAAGCTTAACCTTTACTGTGACAGATCAACATGTTATCAAAAAGCAAATAGTTTGTGTGTTACTTTGTAGAGCATATAAAAGTTTAATCAACCCCATATGGGCCAGCATAGTTCCTTACATATTCTTGCCTTTCACTTTTCTGACCCATTCTTGTGCCTGCTTTCTGATTTTAAAGTCAGGCCAATCATTGGACCAAAGTACTATGGTAATGAAGTCCTTTTGCAGCAATGTTCTTTTACTAATGAGGAACTGGTTGAGATTGTTAGCCCAGTCTTTTATTCTATAGGCAGTGATGCACAGAGGGGCTTTCCTGGGAGACTCGGCCATCAGATAGATCGGCTGGCCTCTCTAGATTCTGGATGAGCTGTTCCCAAATCCCTGTATATCATGGTGGTACCCTATATTAAAGCAGTCTCCATGTATCTGTCTTCACACTTAACTTGTAGTGCAGAGAGGGGTTTTCTTTAGCAAAATGTGACCATGAACATTTGATCCTTAAGACCACTAATGACTTGAGTAGGTGCAATTTCACTCTTAATTTTAGTTGCCCTGGGCCTTGGTCTACAGATAAATGCATTAGAGTTGTGGGGGAGGGGAGTTGGCAAATAAAATTACTAACTGCTCTTCCTAAGGTTTTGCAATTGTGTGTGAAGTGAAGGAATATCTTATTTTGGTCACCTTTCCTCTGTATTCATTTTTAGTTTAGTGGATAGGAATATTTTGGGGCTATAAAAAGACATGCTGGCCAAAAGGAGTGTTTGCACCAGCTTCTAGAGCCATGGTCACCAATTTGTCAATCACCAGGGCTTGACCAGTCGATCGTGAGGTGTTCGGGCCCCTCCCCCATTACCCCACTCCTGAGAAGACCCACTACCTACCTCCAGCAAAAATGGAGGTAGTGCCGGCTTCTTGCGGGGTGGACGGAAGTCCTGCAGCTGCGCGCCACTTCCAGGGGTTCCGGGAGTGCGCTGGCTGCTTCCCTTCCTCAGGTCTGTGGAGTGCCGGAACTTGCAGGGGGATGGTCCCCAGGTGAGGCATGTGCCAGGACTTCCCTCCTCTGCGGCAGGGGAGTTGGCCCCGGAGCAGGGGCGTGCGGGCGCTTCCCTGCGCTGCGGGAGGGGGAGTTGGCCCTGGAGGAGGGGTGTGCGGGCGCTTCCCTGCGCTGCGGGAGGGGGAGTTGGCCCTGGAGGAGGGGTGTGCGGGCGCTTGGGGAGTTGGCCCTGGAGGAGGGGTGTGCGGGCGCTTTCCTGCGCTGCGGGAGGGGGAGTTGGCCCCGGAGGAGGGGTGTGCGGGCGCTTCCCTGCCAGGAGGCAGGGGAGTTGGCCCCGGAGGAGGGGTGTGCGGGCGCTTCCCTGCGCTGCGGGAGGGGGAGTTGGCCCCGGAGGAGGGGTGTGCGGGCGCTTCCCTGCGCTGCGGGAGGGGGAGTTGGCCCTGGAGGAGGGGCGTGCGGGCGCTTCCCTGCGCTGCGGGAGGGGGAGTTGGCCCCGGAGGAGGGGCGTGCGGGCGCTTCCCTGCGCTGCGGGAGGGGGAGTTGGCCCCGGAGGAGGGGGGTGGGGGGGCTTCCCTGGGCGGGGG